AAGACTGTCAGCCAGCGAATAGAAATCCAGCTAGAAACAGAAAACTTTATTTCAACCTCGTGGTTGGCAACCTTCATTTTCAAATTGTTCACACAAGATTTAAACTACTTTAAAGACATAATAATGTTAGTGTCTTTCAAGAGCTTTACTGTAATTCTATTTTTGTTTGTGTGACAAATCAAAAAAGTAAAAGAAAGAAATAAAAAACAAACGATATAATAGTCGATATAATATATACTTTTATCGCATCGGACGCGGCACTGAAAGTGAAAGAAATAGACAGCACGCATCGAAAGTGATATCTCAGACCGCCATCTCAAGAAAGCACTGACTGATGTTCAACTACGTCGAGCAAAGGGTGGTATAAAGAAAGTTGTTTCGTTGTCGCTCCAGTGCAATATCACGCAAAGCCACGCTTTCAAGAGTCACAATTCCACGCTGAATACCTCGCCCAGGTAACCAATCAGGCGGGTGCGAGAATTCTCCGAGCTATGCGATTCTACATTNAGGTCGGTCACTTACAGGAAGTGGTCGCAACCGGAGCGTTTCGACTGTAGCTTAGAGCGGTTTTCAATATGGGAATCCTGGTTTACAATATTTGCTACATTACATGTAGCTCTGATGGAGTGCTGAATATTGATTATGAATTTTTCCTTGAATCGCATAGCCTTCTTTTTAAATAAAAGAGAACCCCATTTCATTTACGTCTTTGTGAATGTTGAAATATTAACGCCCGCTCGAGAAAAGCCATTCTAGTTGAATCAACTGTCAAGACTGTCAGCCAGCGAATAGAAATCCAGCTAGAATCAGAGAACTTTATTTCAACCTCGTGGTTGGCAAACTTTCATTTTCAAATTGTTCACCCAAGATTTCAACTATTTTAACGACATAATAATGTTATTTTCTGAACGTGCTGGTCTTTCAAGAGCTTTACTGTAATTCTATTTTTGTTTGTGTGACAAATCAAATAAAACAAAGTAAAAGAAAGAAATCAAAAACAAACGATAAAATAGTCAATATAATATATACTTTTATCGCACCGGCCGCGGCACTGAAAGTGAAAGAAATAGACAGCACGCATCGAAAGTGATATCTCAAGAAAACACTGACTGATATTCAACAACGTCGAGCAAAGGGTGGTATAAAGAAAGTTGTTTTGTTGTCCCTACAGTGCAATATCACGCAAAGCTACGCTTTCAAGAGTCACAATTCCGCGCTGAATACCTCGCCCAGGTAACCAATCAGGCGGGTGCGAGAATTCTCCGAGCTATGCGATTCTACATTGTAATTTCACCCTTTCGCGTCGTTTGTGTACGTTTTGAAATTAAAGAATATTTGACCGCAGACTCGGCTGCAATAACAGCTATTAGTGTTTAAAGCCCCGTCCACAGTACGCCGCAGGAAGTTGAAAACGGAGGTTTCACTCTGAAAATGCATGAAATGTTTTACCCACACACCACATCGGACGAATTCAGTTAAAAACGGAGGTTTCACCGGGGGCCTGTTCACAATCTATGTGGGAACGCATTAAATGTTTCCCGTCCACACCACGCCGAAGGAATTTGAGAACGCGACAAACACTGGTAAATCTTGGGCAAGGGAATATTATAATGATCGTAACGTCATCGTTTTCGAAAAGCTTCGTTTTCAAAACGTTTTCCGTCCACACTGTACTAAAACGCAAAGCCGGCGTTGCAAATTCCTCCTGTTTGAGGGGTGTTTACAAAAAGCTCCGTTTTCGTCAAGGATTAGTATAGAGGGAAGGCCTAACCGGAGAAATAACGCTCCGTTTTCGAATTCCTCCAGCGTAGTGTGGACGGAACCTAGCGAGTTTAATAAAGTAACCAACACCGAGTGGACTGATGTGATACCGAAATTAAATTAACTTGGTCACCCTGGCATAGCGAATAAATCGAAATAAATTTTTTATCCCTCAGATCAAGGGGAAAATCTGTTACCGGTTCACTCCTGTTTGACTCTAGATTATCGTCTAATCAAAAGCCTGTTGAGCCTGAGCTCAGAGTCATTCGCGAATGGGACGAGTAAAATGGGGGAGACAAGATATCACCCCAGTCCCCTCCATCTCGAGATCATCTCCGAAGTCTCTATACAACGTTTCGCTTCTGTCCACAAACTTGTGTCTACCAACTTGTGTTTATATACTGTATCCACTGCTCGTGTTTACTGATTTTAAGTTATTCCTTGAGATCTTGTTTGTACAACTTTTTTTATTTTTATTTTTTTTTTGTTATGATGGCATAAATAGGTCCGCAATGCATGCAAAATAGACTACCTAATCCCGGGAGTCAAAGTAAATTTGTATATTCTGTTCAAAAGAAAAGACCATGAGTTCATGGCTAAAATTATGTACAACAATTAACACCATTGGAAACGTACTGGTGACAAGACTGCATTTGGCACAAACGTCAAAAGTCCTCCAAGTGCGTTTCGAAATCTTCTCACCATAACTCAGAAAGAGCTACGAGGTATAGTTTGGTGTAGGCTACATAATTTTTGTGGTCGCTGTGAATAAGGAAATGTAGCCTGATGCTCCCCTCACAGAAGTGAAGAGGATGAGTGAGTGCAAATAAGGAAAAATATGAATGACTGACTGACCGATTAAATCCAACTGGAAGTCATTGAGCAGTACTTTTGCGTGAGCTGCCTCTCGCTAATTGTATTTTACAATTTTTCTTCATCTCTTTTTTTCATTAATAGACATGATTTGGGTTTGAAACGCCCCCCGCCCCCTCCCCTCCACTTCCATCCTAAAACCTAGTGCCCAATTCTTGTGGAGATTCTATATTGGCTTCATACTTTTCTTTATTATCGTTATTTTTTTGTTGTTGTTTTTAGAACCACCCCTTCACAGAATTTCCAGTGACCTTCCTTAGGGTGAGTGGGTATGAATAATGGTTTTCTGGAAACACGCCATGATTAAGCAGGCTGAACTTGAGAAATTATAGCAATAAAGACTAGGGAGGAGGTACTCCCCTAAATGGGCTATATAAGTATGAGCAGCCCCAAAGGGCATAGTTTTTCAGCCATTGGTTTTGGTCAGAAATAGAGTATCAATTTCTGGTTATTTTGATCTCAAACAGGGTATGGTGTTTCCACTATAGCCTTGAATTGGAAGTGTTTTTTAGGAGATGCTACTTTTTCATCATTAATGATAAAACCATCACCAAAAGCCCTTCACAGTGCCTTATAACATCGGTCTGAACTAGAGAATTAATTAAGACAGGTCTGAAACAGGGTATTGATTTAAGGGTCAGGTCTTAATTTAAGGGTATTAAATGTTTTGTCAGGTCCATTTCATATTTTGGTTTTAAATAGGAAGTTGGCCACTCCCACCCACCCAACCCCTCAATGTTTTTTGGGAGTACCCCCAGGAACAAACTAAATGAAAAACACAGAATAATGATATCATAATCCAGTTGAAGCAATATTTATTAGGAATAAACTGCATACATTACTTTTTTTTTTATTACTATCCGCTTTAAGAGTTCCAAGTTCCACCTAGGCAGCAACATTTTAACTATGTTTAATTGTCTAAATTAAAAGTGCATGTTGTTTTACTAGTTTTATTCTGGTTTCACAAAGCGACCCATGAACAAAATTGCACTGGACTTCCTATGACAAATCATGAACAGAAATGGATGATCAGCACAGAAGCTGGCATCGAACACTGGACTAACCGCTCGTGACATCATGACCACTGCTGTGGCCGCTGCTGCTTCTGTGCCCTTCTCGTTCACTTCGACAAATGCCTTGTGAACGACATGGGACACGTAGAGCCTCTCAGGACCTCGGATTATGCCTGAAAAATTAGCCTCAAACTCACTAAACATATCTGTTACTCCCATCTTAATTAGAATTTCCTTGAGTTGAAACTGCTGTGTCAGCTTAAATCTTGGCAGGGACACCTCTACCTTTTCTGGGTGTGACTGTGATACAGTCGCCAGAGCCTGTTGTAATCTTTCATGGGTGAGGCTTTCCTCCAACTTGGCCAATCCATAGGTGGCATGGGGCAGCAGGATGACCATGGAAAGGTCTTCTCCTTGGTAAGGCATCTCAAGAATCTGACAGGCAAGCTCCCCACCATCTTCAGCATGCTTGAACCTTTTCGTCAGGTGCATCATCTCTACTTCGGTCTTTTCACTTTCGGAGACGAAGAAATTCTGTTTGAAAGTCTCCTCTTTTTTGAACTGGTTTTGCCAAAATCCCTTGAAGTAGATTGCATTCACCAGGGACAGTCGAGTGCGGGTGTTGAATACTCCCGAGGGAATCATATCCTGAATTTTCTGTTTCGTTTTCTCTTCCACCCAAGCGTTCACATGTTTCCTAGCGTTTTCTGTATCGTCCTGGTAATCAACCATTCCTACTTCAGCACCATAGAAATTTTTCATCTCGTCCACGAAGTCTTCCAACAGGTTGTAGTCCATTTGAAGGAAAATTCGATTGGCAGTGAGGAGCTCGTTACTCGCGGTGTTTGCGGCTTGGAGAGCTTCAAGAAAATGTTTTTCTTCATCGTGGAGTGAGGGGATTTCTTTCCAATGTAGTGCCTTGGCCAGCTGCGTAGCTGTGTCTCCTCTGGCTCCCAAAGAGGTCATGGCTAGTGCTATGCTCAGACTGCCTGGCGAATAGAACAGTTTTTTGCCAGCGAAGTTTTGCTCATTTTTGAGAACCTTATGGAGATCCACCGTGAACTTGTTGCTTCCTTCGACCACAGCTTCCATTTTAGACATTCCCTCGTCTACAAAACCTTCAAAGTTCGTCAACACTGAAATGAAGCTTGCGAAAGAGGGAACGTGTTTATCACTTGTGCAAATTTCATGTAATTGGCTTCAGTTCAACCAATCAGAACTTCCCATTTTGTGTCACGCGTCACACACTCAACCGATCGACATCCGGCCCTTGAAAATGAAAATGTTCGTAAGCTTGTGCTTCCTCGTTTTCCTTTCATTTTCTAACAGTTTAGCGTCGTCAGACCAAAGTGAAAGTCAACAGGTGGGAGAGATAATAGAAACTGTCAACGATTTTGGTTTCGATCTGTTGAAAAGTTTCAACCACGAGGAGAAACTGAAAGATGACAATCTATTCTATTCTCCAACCAGTATTGTAGTCTCTTTGGCGATGGTGTTCTTGGGAAGTAGAGGAAACACAGCGCATGAATTAGCGAAAACTTTGAAGTGGTTCTCTCATGAATTCGAAGACGTCCACTTGGCGTTGAAGTCGTTGCAGGAGGCCATACAAGAATCCGAGCACGATAACCTGGAGCTGAAGATCGCCAATCGAATTTGGGGACACGAGGACTTAGATGAGACAGCCGAGTTTCAGGAAAGTTGCCTTACATTCTACGACACACGCATAGCTAAAGTTGACTTTAAGGAGAATTATGAGCGAGCGAGAGAGGAGATCAATGGGTGGGTAGAAGAAAATACCGCAAGGAAAATTAAGGGTTTTCTCCCATCCGGAGCTGTCAATCAAGATACGAGACTGGCATTAATTAAGGCAATTTATTTCAAGAGAACATGGCTTCATACCTTTAAGGGCCCATTAACCGATTTTTTCGAGCCGTTGCTAAGGAAAATTTATTCTCATATAACCTCATCATTTTTAGTTAGTTCAGTTATTTCATGTGTTT